GTAGAAAAGCCATCACTGTGCCGAAAGTGGACAGGTCACAGGGTCAATGGGCACAGCGGCTGCAGCATTTTAGACTTTTTCTGAGGACATGGCTCGTGACGGTCGTGACCTTTCGAAACACTTTTTTTGTCTTCAGTCGCGTGACCTAGGCATGTTTATGGCTTTTATTGAAAGGACCATTGAAATATTTACGCTCTGCTGACATGCCGAAGGAGGAAGTGTCGGATTAAACCCTTTTGACCCTCAAGAGGAGGGTTAAACAATGTGATTTGTTGACTGTCTGGTTAGAAGAATTTTGACTGCCGGCGTTTCCCTAGCTTAGAACTTCTCAGTACATGCCTGGGATGTATTGTAGGCTACATATGTCACCTGTCTTTCTTGAAATTTCAACAAGCTAAATTTTGAATTTAAAAGAAGGTTTATGCTCCTTAAATCGATAATTTCTTATGGGAGCAATTCGTGTACTGTAGTATCGTTACATTATGCTAACGTATAGCCACTGCCAGTGAACTACTTGCCACGCTGTATGTGGTGGTTGTCTGTGTAGTTTTTGCCACTGCGGTTCAAATTGGTTATACAGGTTGGCACCTCCTCTATCATCGACAGCTGTAGACGCCTTTCTGCTAATCTCCTGGCTCAAATGCTCCGTTACTCGTGGGCGTCGCCCTAAAGCGGTTGGTCTTGTTTTAGAGAGCAAAGAATTCTGCTTAATGCAATACCATAAAATTATTCTAGACTCGCAGGCAAAGTAGAATAATCATGTCGTGAAATAGCACTATTTTTCCCGTTTTTCCGTTGTACACTCTAGGTATTATTAGCTCTTGATATTATTCTTGACAAAGAACATGTGCGAACGAACAGATAACTGTGTCTTTTTATAGTAAGCATAGTACAGAATGTATTATATATACACACATATAAATAATTAATTATTCACAGATGGCTTACAAATTTAATTACTGGATATTCGTTATACAGGACTGGTTGCAGTAGTCTTCATACCAATGCAACATATAACAGGTTAGCAACAAAGCTAGTCTCAAGAGTCATGAGCACATACAATAATTGCGATCTTACTAGTGATCTCTTTAATCACACGTTTTTTTGGGGAAAAAATGGGTGAATTTTTTTTAATGAATTTAATATAGATATCATTGCCTGAAATAAGAATATGGGGGCTTACATATGGGTTACAATATCTTTAAGGCTGAATATACCACTATGTCCATCAATGTACCTAACCAATGTAGTGTTCTATGCAAGCATTTTGTGCATAAAAATTGGATAAAACGCTTATATAACTCCCATTCTAACAACTATGCTCGAGAGCAAAAATGTTACAGGGTGCGGTGTTCGGCGAATGTCAGCTAGTCTCTTGCAGCTAGCGTAGCCATGCCAGAAACGGGAAGTCTGCGTTGCTTTATCAGAATAACTACGACTCCACGACAGCTCTACACTGTGAGGTTGGGCGAGCATTTGTCCTGCATTGTGAGGCTGGGTGAGCATTTGTCCTGCACTGTGAGGCGAGGTGAGCATTTGTCCTGCACTGTGAGGCGAGGTGAGCATTTGTCCTGCACTGTCAGATGGGGTGAACATTTGTCCTGCACTGTGAGGCGGGGTGAGCATTTGTCCTGCACTGTGAGGCGGGGTGAGCATTTCTCGTAGGTCACGCAACTTACAGGGCTGTGGTGTCCGGTATAGGATACTTGTGAGCATAGAGTCGCTCGACACTTTGCGATAATATCGCTCGCACCAGGGGTTGGAGCATTTAGTACTTTGAGCACAAATCGAGAGATTGTTGCAGATGCTGCATCTCCGTCTGCCCAGCCTCATCCTCTGGCAATGCTGTGGACACGGGCCATTTACACTCACACCACCAGATTGTACTGCTAACTGATCTACACGATTTAATTCTATGCTGGCATCACTTGGCAGCGGCGTCATGCTGAGATCGAAGCTGGCAGACTGCCGATCCAAGACGTCGTCACTTGCTTCTCTTTGCGACCAACATAGCATGTCTGTTACGCTGCTAAGACTCGATCGTGGTACGCGAACAATGTGTGGCGTGATAAGTTCATACTGGGGATGTATTTTTCGTCGATTGCAAAATTGTCCATCGTGGGCATCACCTTCTACAACGATGCCCCCTGGTGTCACTGGCACAAAGGTCAACTTGCTTGGAGCTTGGTTTGTTGGCGGACTGGCTGCTGGGAGGGGAAGGGGCTCCGAGTGCGGGCCGCGTAAATTCCGTGACACAGTGGGCAGAGTAGTGATCTGGTGCACGATTGGTAGAGACGCGTGACCCGACGAAGGTGTGCAAATATAACTGGACCAGGTTGCGAACTTGGCGGGCAGCAACTGCATGCCTGTGTTTTTGACGCAATCTACACCCTTAATGGGATGTGGAGTACCGCGGTACTTTGACGTGAGAAAACAAGATGCTGTCATGTGCGGTGTGCCACCTATTTCCAACGAGGGCATCTGTGCATTCATAAAAACATTCTTCTCTTTCGCAGAGCTGGGAAGTTCACTTTGAAGTTCAGGACCGGGTAGCACGTACGACCGTTCTTCACTACTGGGTGGAGTCAAGAATGGAGACTCTGCGGCAATGATTGGCAATCTGCCAGAGTTGGGGGGGAGGAAACAAAGAGACCAGTGGAGTGGATGATCCCTGTCCAGCACTGAAACGGGGGATGAACCAACCTTTTTGCTGTCTGCTCGTTTCCCTTTGACCTTTCTTCTTGTCACAGGCACGGGAGAGTTGGATATCTCAAATGCTAGACTCTTCCGTCCGGGCTCCTTCTGCATAGAGAACATGTAGCATTACAGCTAGATTTGGCAAGTCCAAGGGGAAACATGGTGCATAATCAATGTAATTGCTATGTCAATGTTGAGGACAATCACGGATTCCGATTGTGAAAGATGAATTGGAGAATGCTCTATTATCTTACACATATACCAGATGGTTAAACATGACACAGATATTTTTATGCGCTTCGTACCATTTAAAAAATGTTATTTTCTGCTTTTACAGTTTTACTTAGAAGAATTTGTTGTACGGTGTGTATACTGATTATAGATAGATTATTACTGATGACTTAAGAATGGCTACCCGTCTCTCATCATTGCTTTATGCTTTGCCAAATCACCAGAGTGTACTTTTTCAGGACAATTCGGACAAACACTGGGAAAATTGTGCATATGCAAATAACCGAGTATGTTATAAGTGTAAGTGTAACTGAAAAATAAATAATTATTATACTATATCAAGTGTATACAATGAGATTATGACTGTCTACTGAAGTACATAGCAGTGAAAGAGAACGAGTGCTCATGCCAGTCGCTCGCTGGCTACCAATTGCTGTATAAGCCGTATTTTTCGCGTACAGATATTTTTGCGAATTCAGACGACGGACAATTTCGCGGTCGGTGCATTATGAATTATTTGGTGTTATTCGATATGAATTATTTGCGTGTTGTTATTTTTGCGGTCGGGGACGCGTTCGCGTAATTCGCGAAAATTAAACCACCGCAAAATATACAGCTTATACAGTGATCACTACTCTCTCGCTGCCAATTAACAGATAGAGTTAACTAACAGAGTCCTGTCAGGTTAGCACCATATTATAACTTATTGATCACAAAACACAACTAGCACAATATAGCTGTGACAGGACTCACTAGTCCTGTTAAATTATCAAAGTTATGTCCACTTGTTACATGGGTTACCTTGGGGGTTGGTTCCATGTGAAGTGCTTTCCGAATGCGTGGTCCCAGCTTGGGCATAGGTGATTTGTAACGGTTTTTCGGAGTTGGTGGGCCTGGCTTCTGGTATACTGTTGTGTTACCATCAAATCTTGACTGGAAGATAGAAGTGCTGTTTTACAGCTTGCACCGAACACTACCGTTGTACGTCAGAGTACATTACTACACAACAGTATATTCACTTACAATCTATCAATTGATCTATCCATCTGAGCAAGACAGCCTTTCAACATTGTTGCTAGGGCAGTCAAGCTAGACCAGTTTGTCAACGTTTTTCAAACGTGCAGCAAAATTTCTAATGCAGTGCTTTAATTGCTGCCAAGCATTGCTGTTTAGAACGTCTCATTACAACAATGATTAATTAGAGCTGCCCTTTACACCAGATGGATAGGGGTTAATTATCGACAACTAACCCACCTGCCTGCCGGGTACCACTTCTGCTTTCTGCCTATGTCTCAGTGACTCCAGTCCTTGGGGAGGTATGTCTTCTTTCAAACTCTCGATACTGTTTTCCTTTTTTACCTGTCAACCAACCAATTTTCAGTTGTATTATTTTCTTGGGAATGTGGCAACAGGACTCAAATATAACATCTTCACCGACAGCAAATGTTATAGTTGCACTCCGCATACACCTCACTATTCAGAGAGTATGATTTTCAACTACATATGACACTGACAGGTTCAGAATTTATTGCTCTAGTTCACTGACTATATGATTGGCCATCGTACTCAAAAATAATGATAGCCCTTTTTATCCGGGCTAAAATAAAAAGGGCTATAATTTTACCGCTGTTAAATTATTTTAGCCCCGGTAAAAATAATAATTTTTGAGTATAGTGGCCAACCATACACTGACTAGGTTTCGCACTCACTTGACCGTGGAAGAAGCTTCTCTTGCGAGGATCATGCTCTATGATTGTTAAGGGTTCATGGATAGTAGACGATGCCATAGTCATTCGCCTGGTATCCTTCTTGATCTTTACACTTTCTCCTGCAGGAGAAAAACATGCGTACATTAAAAAACAACAATGAAATAGTCGAGCGTTTGATACAACCTGCCTTCTTTTATGTTGGTTATTATTTACTCATTATTACTATTATGTACACTATTATCTGGTGTCTATTATTTACTTGCCCACGATGAACTTTTTATTCTACCGTCACTCAGTGCTAGCTATACTGGCACCACAAACAGCAATCATTCACATTTTACCCTTTGAGATAGCTCTTTATATGTTCCTGGCACTCCTAGTTACTAGGGCTGACAGCATTAATATTTTGCTACAGTATGCACAAAAACTTTTTTGGAAATTTATAGGGTCACAGGGGCTGAAATAGTGGTTTTTGCCCGCAGGTCCGATAAAAGATTTGAAATGTCCGAATATGTTAATTGTTTGGCCAATAGATCGTTTGGTAACAGTGGGTCAATTTTTTGATACAAAACCAAACATAAACAAACTCATGTTTGCCATTGTTTGATACAATACATGCTTCGTCTGCAGGCATTCCTGCGTTTCAGAGTTACTCGTTATAAACAACCATGCTACTAACGTTGCAGCATACCCTATCAGTATCAGTACGTGTAATTTCGATCAGATTTTCAGTAAAATTTGACTCTTATACTTCATTGGTATGTTTCATTGTGAATATTAAATATGAATGATACTAGATGTCGACAGTAACCAAAAATCTATCTACTGTGCAATTTGCAATGATTTAATAATCTTTTATTTGATGAAAAGTGGAGTACTGTAAATTATTGATAGGTGCGATGGACTTTCTGCTTGGAAATTGCGAAGGTCCGAGCATGAAATCGGCAGGTCCCGGACCTCGATCGAACTTGCCCTATTTTCATCCCCTGGGTCAGGGTTAAGGGAATGTTCCAACAGTAGCCAGAGATAGAAACCTCTCCAACATTACTAGAGTAACAAGACAGCAGACAGAAGGCAGCACGCGTTACCAAGTTTCAGCTGCTGGTCAGATATTTCACTGGTGGCTGCTGCCTGCGTCTCTGCGGGGTAACTGCTCTTCATGTGCGGCAAACACAAGGTATTTCTGCGCTGTAACTCATCCAACCTGCACACACACAGCACACGATACAGATCAATATATAACAATTAACTATAAACACAATACGTCCGTGTATACTGAGGTGTCTACAATGCTTATGCAGAAAATGTTATAAAGTCAGACAAATACGAGTACGCAAATACAAACGTACGTGGGGCATGTCATGAATATTAGGAAACGTTTTCTGACATTGATTTTACTTTCTTTGCAGTTACTTCACATGCACATAACAGACGAAATTTATATGTATAAATGTATAAATATTACGAAATTTTTGCTCAGAAATGCTCAATCCAAAAAAATATTGTGAAATATAGTCTCACCTCACAGCAGATATGTCACTGATTACACTAACTTAAAAACACTAAGAGTTTATGCAGTTATAGCATAGCAAATTGGATATGAACACATCGTTTTTATCGTGTCGAGACACTGCCAAAATGTGTCAACGTGTAATTTGTCGGTGCAAACGAGATTTTACGAGAAACGTGCAAGTCTATGGACGATAGCTGGGGCTAGCAGCGCTACTAACTGGTCCAAGCTAGATTACAAGAAGGCTCGCTGGTAATCGAACTTGCATGTTTTGGTGAATACGAAGGTTCTAATACATTTTATCGTTACCCTAGACAGTTGCTGTTACTCAAGCAATACAGGTAGGTAATTAAATGGTCATGAAAGTTGGGGAAACACTAGATAATTCTCGTAAATATGGCTTTAACAGCAAGCTGGCAGTAGAAGTTTCACCTGCACCCGTCCAGATCAAACTCAAGGGAGCGTTTCACAGGTATCAGTCCCTTCCATTCAAGTACGTCATCCTCATCTTCAGAACGAAATAATGATGCTATAAATGATAAATAATAACCAACAGTGAGTGAAACGTGAATGGTGGAATGTTAATGTTGGGTAACATTCTACTACATTCCATTGTATCAAGTAGGCTTCTGCACCAGTGCTCAATACGCAAGTCTCAAATCTCAATCACAGGCCATGAATGAGTTTGCTTGCATAAAACCTGTTGAAATTTGAGCACCATGTTGCCACAGCACTACTTCCCTAAGACATTATTTGATGAAAAAGTTAGTAAAACAAAAATAAAAACATGTTTAAATTAAAAATTTTCCTTCACCATAGACGTAATGTAATTAAACATTTTATTGCGACATTATGCATTATTTGAAACTGAGAATGGCCATGATCTCATATTCACAATGCATGGCGCCACCTACTGGCAGGTTTCTTGTTGACGGTGCTTGGGGTCTGGCCTAGGTTACTCAGGTAGGATGTATCGAGGAAGTTAGTAGATATGTCGTGAGGAATATCACTTGTGCTGCTGCTCCCTCTAGCAGTTTTCCTGCGAGAAACATCATTTATACTTCTACATGCTTGCTGGTGGAAACAATCAACCACTGTATCGTAGTTTGATGAACACTGACGGGTAGCAAAATCGGTTTGTAGATATGGTACTATAGACGATAGAAATTGATTGAAATTGTTTTACCTTGTCACGCTCCTAGCCACGGATACTGGAGCTTTGAAGAACTTGTCCATATCATCCAAACTGTCATTAAATGCTGCAGAAATATGCATATTAATATATTATCTTAATTAAACATATTAACCTGCAAACATAACAAATCAATGTGAAAGAACAATCTAGGCATTGCGCAAACATTGACCTTTACATTACCAATCACGTAATCATGATCATGTTCATTGTTTAAATTATCGACATCGTTGCAATTCACAACTCACGGTCACTGCCGACAGTAGAGGCAGAGACAGCCCGTCTCGTTATGATGCCTTGTTTTCCACTGGCTTGTAGTTGTCTGCTCGCAAAGTCCAACTGAACTTCCAGAATGGCAATTTGCTGTTGCAGAGACTGGCTACGTTGTTCTTCCCCCTACAGTGAGAGAAAGAAAAATTAAATGATTTTGATCACCAGCAAGCTTACCACGTACACAATTTTTAGTAAGGTATAATTTGCAAGTGCTGTGTTTCCAATAATGCACATATCCAGCTACAAAGTCACATCGGCATCAGTACATGTGAATACAGTGTGAGGTTCATGCAGGTATTTTTGATCATACACACCCGTGTTGTTCCCGTATGTGTGTATAGTATTAGAGGCACTTGCAGGAGCTAGATAATCTTGATTAGCATGTTGAATGTAGAGTAACGAACCCTTAGCTTCATCCGATCAGCCGAAGCCTGGTGGATCTGCTCCTCCAGCTTGGACAACTTTTTCTGGACAGACTGCTTCTCCTCTTCGCAAACCTGCAATACATACATGTGCACGCATAAAATCATACACACCTGCCGCAAAGTGCTAGACCAAGGGAAGCTTGCTGCACGACATAACTTTACAAAATACACGACTTTCTCTTAAAACAACATGTTCTCACAGCAAAATGCATAGATATACCTACTGTGAGCTTGTCATGTTGTAAAAATTCACTATATAACTTATTTGTATTGCTACTTTTATAACATTTCTTCAGCAAATCCAAACCAAAGTGTACTCCTCTTCTGAAAGTAGCACCACAGGATGTTTACACATCCGGGACAGCCGAGCGAACGCAATTTTCATTAACAGTTCTTTGCTATGATAAAACAAGTTATCATTTAGTATTCGATGTTTGCTCAGTACAAAACTGTGAATTTTTTTAAATAATGTTATCTACATCCCTTATGCAATCAGCAGACAAATATTGTGTTTTCTTTCCAGGAACTATTTGCGCTAGCGTAACGGTTAGCGTTTTCAGTCACATCGCTCTATACATGTGTATCTGTACTCCAAAACTCTCTCTGAGAGTTTTCAAAATAGTCAATTTCGGAGCACATTTCGTGATACTGCAAGTATGCTCACAGTAGGTGTATGCATGCAATTTGTTGCCAGGTTTACACTATGAACTAGAATATACGGACAAAACACGGGGTAATCACGGACGGAATATTCCGGAGCTAATTACAGTCCGTAGCAAAATACACGGACTCTTACATACTAACTACGGACTGCATACAGAATGCTTAGTTACGAGGATTTCACATGTTTTTAACAACCGTTTGAATATTTTCTCAACTGTTCTCTTACCAACCGCTTTCATATTTGCTCAACTGTTCTCTTACCAACCGAGACCATAAGTGCTCTCAAAGAGGGAGCCAGCCACCTACCTGCAGTTGCCGCTTATTCATGTGCTGCTTCTCAATGAAAGACTTCTTCTTAGCGTCCATGGCACGCACCATCTCGTCGTGTTCCTTCTGCAGCCGATCCGCATATTTCTTCTGCTCCTCTTGCCTCTCCTCCCTCTCGTGCATCACCTTCTTTTGGAGCGCCGATATCTTCACTTCTAGCAAGCGCGTCTTATCCGCATGCATGTCTTTCTCGTGAGAGACGGTGCGGGAGAGAGCCTCTTTGTCTTGGTGTAGTAAGTCAACCACCTTCTCCATCTCACGCGCTTTCAACTCAAGCTTGCTGCACTTAGCCAGGGTTGACTCGACAATCTTGCGGCTCTCTTCCTGAAGCTGAGAGGCCTCTGCATCCATCTTCTGGACCTACGCACAGCTAACTCATTATTCAACGAACATAATGCAGCATAGGGCATGTATTTTAATCTAATGATGTATGTACAAATACCTCATGTATGTACCTGATAAGAACGCCAAAAATAAAATCGAAGAAAAAATCCTGATCACCCTACTCTTTGATATAGCCAACTCACAACGTTAGTTAATCTCTTCCTCCCCAAAGATCTAATCTCCCCTGTCAGAGACTTTAGCCTCCTTGAAGGGCAATCTGACGTGCCACCCATCCTATATCGCCCTCATCCATATATAGATGGAAAGTTGGGAAGTGGTAGTGTAGTAAGAGTAAGTATAAGAATGGGAAGTGTGCAATTTTGCATTTGCATGCATGCTAACCTTCAACAGATGGTCGTGACGTGCCTCTCGTGCTACCGCCTTCAGGTTGTCTACGTCTTTCTCCAGTTCCTTCTTCTCCTGCAGCGTGTTCTGATGTTGCAGCTGCATCTCGTCTGTCACCGATGTGAAGCGATCCTGTAGGTCGCGTAACTCTCGCGCACACATCCTCATTGCGTCGTTCTCACTTCTGAGACTTTCTGATGTCACCCGCTGCTCCTCCAGTTGTTTCGAGTATTCAGCATTTAGACAAGATACTGCCTCCTCGTGGTTAGCAACCAGTGCTGCCATCTGGTTTTCACGCTCTTGTAACTGTTGCTCCATCTCTACCTTGTAAATTTCTGATGTTACTGTCTGCTCCTGAAGTAAGGTTTCTGATGTCACCCTCTGCTCCTGCAGTTGTTTCATGTAATCACCCTTTAGACTGGTTACTGCTTCATCGTGGTTAGTAACCAGTACTGCCATCTGGTTTTCACGCTCTTGTAACTGCTGCTCCATCTCTACCTTATAGGTTTCTGATGTCACCCTCTGGTCCTCCAGTTGTTTTGTGTAATCGGCATTTAGACAGGATACTGCCTCCTCGTGATTAGCAGCCAGTGCTGCCATTTGTTGTTCTATTTCTACATTATAAGTTTCGGATGTTAACCTCTGATCTTCCAGTTGTTTCAAGTAATCAGCCTTTAGACAGGTTACTGCCTCCTCGTGATTAGCAACCAGTGCTGCCATCTGGTTTTCACGCTCTTGTAACTGCTGGTCCATCTCTACCTTATAAGTTTCTGATGTTACCCTCTGCTCTTCCAGTTGTTTTGTGTAAGCATTTAGACAGGTTACTGCTTCTTCATGGTTAGCAGCCAGTGCTGCCAATTGTTGCTCCATCTCTACCTTATAAGTTTCTGATGTTGTCTGCTGCTCCTGCAGTTGTTTTGTGTTATCAGCCTTTAGACTGGTTACTGCTTCTTCATGGCTAGCCAACAGTGCTGCCATATGGTTTTCACGCTCTTGTAACTGCTGGTCCATCTCTACCTTATAAGTTTCGGATGTCACCCTCTGATCTTCCAGTTGTTTCATGTAATCGGCATTTAGACAGGTTACTGCCTCCTCGTGATTAGCAGCCAGTGCTGCCATTTGTTGTTCTATTTCTACCTTATAAGTTTCTGATGTGACCCTCTGATCTTCCAGTTGTTTCATGTAATCGGCATTTAGACAGGTTACTGCCTCCTCGTGATTAGCAGCCAGTGCTGCCATTTCTTGCTCCATCTCTACCTTATAAGTTTCTGATGTGACCCTCTGCTCTTCCAGTTGTTTTGTGTAATCAGCCTTTAGAC